CCTTCCTGAATCTGAATTTTTCCAACTTAAGATTAAGAGAGATTTCGTTCGGATTTTTAACCCCGGAGGGTTAGCCACCCAGGATAACCCAAGAAAGTCAGTGCGTCATCGAGGACTGTCTAACTTATTTCCATTGGGGTCCTTAATCTTGTCCCCCAGGATGCGACCCACACCAGTCGACTAACACCCAGGTACCTATTTACTGCTAGGTGAACAGGACAATGTGTCGAATGTTTCCACCCGCCGGGAATCGAACCCGGGCCCTCCGTGTGTGAAGCGGGAGCTTTAGCCACCAGGCCACATGTACTTAAAACCATTGCTGCGAGTCCTGTCTAGGCTAGATATTTTCAGCACACTATTTACATCCCCTTAATTTATTCCTGTCTTCCACTTATACACCTCAATCATATCCCCCCTAATTCTACGTCTTTCTAGAGAGTGCAGATTCAGGGCCCTTAGTCTATCCTCATAGGGAAGGTTTCTGATACATGGGATCAACTTTGTCATCCTCTTTTGTACATTTTCCAGAGCATTTATATCCTTTCTGTAATACGGTGACCAAAACTGTGCAGCATAATCTAAATGAGGCCTAACCAAGGATGTATAGAGTTGAAGAACAACCTGAGGACTCCTATTATTTATGCTTCTTGATATGAAGCCAAGGATTCTATTAACTTTATTGTGAACACTTATGCACTGTTGTCTTGGTTTCAGATTACTGCTAACCAGAACTCCTAAATCTTTTTCGCAATCCGTAATATTAAGATCTACATTAGTTAATTTATATGTGGCATGGTTATTGTCCTGTCCAACATTTAGAACTTTGCATTTGTCTATATTAAACTGCATCTGCCACTTCTCCGACCACTGCATCAGTCTATTCAAATCTTCCTGGAGTGCTCTAATGTCCTCGTCAGAATGAATTCGACGGCCTATTTTGGTGTCATCGGCAAACTTGCTGATGTCGCTCTTTATGCCCTCATCTATGTCGTTTATGTAGATTGTGAAGAGCAGGGGGCCCAACACTGACCCCTGTGGAACACCGCTTGTGACGCTTCCCCACTCTGATTTCTCCCCATTTATGCAAACTCTCTGCTGCCTATTTGTCAACCATGCTTCTATCCAGGAAAAAATTTCTTCTCCTATTCCATGTGCTTTAATTTTCCTCAATAGTCTCTGATGTGGGACCCTGTCAAAAGCCTTACTGAAGTCCATATACACAATATCATATTCATTACCATGATCTACCTTCTCAAATACCTTAGTGAAAAAAGTTAATAAATTCGTAAGGCAGGAACGCCCCTTTGTAAAACCATGCTGAGATTCGTTGATTAATTTATGCTTTTCAAGGTGGCTACGAACTCTCCCATGACTCGGTCCCAGACCAGGCCCCCTGGTGGATCAATGTTTGATCAACCAGGCTGTTACTGCTGGCTATACACAGTTTGACCTACGAACCACAGACCGGCTGATTAAGAACTGACTTGAAGCAATAACCTATGTGACATGTCAAGATATCTTATTAATGAAAATAAGATACCAGATATACTAAGCAAATTTCCTAAATTTGCTTGTAACAGATAAGTGAACTATAGATATGTAGATATAAATCCATATGTATTCCTGTTAACCCTTTAGGGCCTAGTTCCTAGGCCTTTTGTGTATCCATATGCTCTTGCGCTACCGTCCACAGGATGGATGTGGGGTGCACAATAAACTAACCACTTCGGTGGCAAAATCTAAATCCTCTTGAAGACAGCTAAAGGTCTCTTGATCATCTCCTTTATATATGATGGGAAGGCTATTGTTATTTATTATGTAATTATTATGCCCTGTTTTTCATTGTTTTTGTAGGACATGATTTTCTTGTTAGCAAATTCGGGAAAAGTCCCTTTAGAATTTTCCATGTGTAAATTATGATGCATCTTTCTCGCCTGAGTTTCAAGAAGTACAGAGGGGACAGTGATTATTAGAAATGTAATTTAGGTGAATGGATGGATTTATACTTGCAGTGAAGGTTCTGTGTAATTCTCTAGGTCTGCAATTTTGCCTGCCTTAAAAGGGTATCTTAGTGTACAGCAGTGTTCCAGTCTGGAGAGGACAAGTGACTTAAGTGGCTTGGCATCTCTTGTTCTGAAGGAACGCGTTATCCATCCTATCATTTTCCTCGTAGTTATCATAATAACATTGTTGTGATCTTTGAAAGCGAGATCCTCTGACATTATCACTCCTGTGTTCATCCCTTTGTTTTTTTGTTACCCTATTGACTGATTAGTTTTATACTCCATTCAGTTTTTTTTTTCACTTCCTCCTTTTTTTTTGGCTACAAAAAAAATACGGTACTATGATTTATGTTCCTATATATGTCGGATATGAGGATTAGGAAAAGGATGGAGGCGAGTAGTGTGTCTTGGGGAAACAGCTTTTCACTGGGGCAGCCTCTGTTTGCAACACTCTTTGCGTTCTGTTTGTTGGAAATTAATTTGCCCACTTTTCTATTTATTCCTTATGCACGCGTTTTGTGCGCTGTTATGCCATGATCGCAATTGTCAAAGGCTTTGATGAAGTTTGTGTACACTAAATATGCTTTTGTTTGTCTTCCAGTGCATCCAGGATCATGTCGTAATGATCCAGCAGTTGTGAGAGGCAGGAAAGACCTGTTGTAAACCCCTACTACCATGAATTGTGCAAATATTGTGAATCTATATGGTTAGCAGTCTCGCTTCTTAAAACTCTCCCAAAGATTTTTATACTGTAGGATGTCAGTGCTATCAGTTTATTATAATTCTTTGCTATTTATCCTTCTGTTCTGGTTCTAGCTTGACTGCGGACCTTTCTGGGAAGACGATCTAGAAAATGTCTTATCAGGAGGCACAGCTGTATTGTAGAAGCCGAGGGATTGATTACTTTTTCAATAATGTGATGACCTCTGTATTCAGCTGATGAAGCCTGCTGAGCAGGCTAAACCTTTCGTCAATAAAGTTACCAAAGTGTTGCGCATGTCTCGGTCATCTTTTATGGCACGGGTTACCTGGTCATATCATGAGAGCCAATCATAGTTTAAAACATTTTAAGAATAGAGCCAAAGACAATCTAATGAACAAAGCTAGGTAAAGAGAGGGCAGTGATTTCTTGGGTTATTTTTTTCAGAATGCATGGGAGGAGCACTAAATCTGCGGTGATCACACATGAGAGGCAATTAGATTTGATTTAAAGACCGGGAGGGTAGCTCTAATTATTTCAAATTGAAAGTTTTCAAATTCAAATTTTTATTTTCACGTTATACACCATGTTTACAAAAATTAATAACATTAATATTGCTCTTGGAAACTCAGGCTACGCAGAGCACCTCCAGTGGTGGTTTCATAGTTGTTCAGGATTGTTCGTAATTGTTCATAATTCCTCATAATGGTTCGTAATTGTTCGTAGTTGACTTAGTGATTTGCCATGTGCGTTTTTTTTGTATAATTAATATCGTGTTTAAGTCTAACTAGTCATGAGAGAGACAATCTCAGGGGACAAAAACGAAATAGAATAGTAGTTGCATATTTCGACCTCCAACTGAGGTCCTCTTCAGCAGACTACAATCTCAGCTGGAGGTTGAAATATACAGACTATCATTCTTCCTCGTTGTTGTCTCATGTGGTATCGCTTCTCTTTGCCTAATTTTCCTCCCCTAGGTGCAGGTTATTTGTGAACAGCCACAGGTTACAGAACGGGTGAGGATCGAACCCAAGGCAGGTGAGTTCTATGATTTGCTTGCAGTCGTGTTAATACGATTTCATGAGTCAGTTACAGTCATGATTAGATTCACTGGTGTGGCTAGTAACTGGACAGGTGGCTGAACTGGACGAGGTACGGACTCCTGGAGTCAAACCTGGACATACCACACCATATATGAAGCAGTGAGTGTGGCTCAGGGCAGGTAGTGTGCCCTGACTGACTTACCAAGCTGGTACTTACCGAGTCACGCTACCTTAAAACTTAACTAGCTTTTCCCGTACTACAATAAATATTTCCATATTTTGACAGCTTTATTGGCAGTTCTTAGAAAAATCCTTTCAGGTGGTGACAGACAAAAAGTATAAAATATTACCAAGTGTTAAAACAGGTTAGTTATGGTGGTAGAGGAACATACCTGCAGTAGCTTTCCTTCCAGTTGTGAACGATCATTGTCATATTTCATCGTTCAGTGAGGTGAAAGTAACATCTTAATTATACTCACATGTTGCATCTGTAATATTTTTTGGCTAATATGACGATCACGCATAATTTTATTTTTTTTTAAAATAGAAGAATGATATCAGTACCCCGACACAAACTGTTATTTCTTGCGCAAATTGTCTTTTTGGAGTCTAGTATGAAAAAAATAATATATTTATTTAGGGACGTGCTAATCAACGGTTAAAACTGAATATTCTGGCTAATGACAGAAAAAACAATGTAAACTAAGGAGCGCCAGTCCCATATCTACTACAGACAGAGTAAGGTTAATGAATAAGACACCTGCAACACTTGGGTATCTTTATTGTGAAGCTGTTTCGCCAACCAGTAACCTTATCAGTTCAGTACAGAGAATAATCCTCGAAACGTTGGAAGACTTGAATAAGTAAGGTTATATTACTTTAAGATGGGTTTCGTTACGATTCTTATACTTGAACAAAATAAAACAAATGTCCATGACAAAGGTAACTTAATGGTGAACAAAAACAGAATCCCCATAATTACTTAATTTTTTAAACTCTAATGTAGTGTAAGTAGAATAAAAAAAAATATTTAGTCAGCTTTTTTCTATTTCCGGCAACATTAGATATCCAGCTGACCCGCCTATATGTAAAAGTATATGATTGATAATAACTTTTTGAGAGGTTTCGATTAACTTACTCCATAGCACTATGTAGAACTAGAATGTCCAATAAACCTGCTGGCATCTTTGATGCTCATTTCTTCAAGTGAACTTGATCCTCCTAAAGTTTTTTGAGTGGGAATTTATTGTTTATCTTGGGTTAGTTTAGTTTACAAATACACAGGATGCGGAGCTAGTGCCGGAAATTAGTGATTGTAGCAGGATAATGTACATAATTCGATGGCGATGAGTTGGACACCGGCCAGAGATAGGGAGAAGTATGGCGTAGGTGAGTATGTGGCGCCTGTGTTAACTAGCAGGGAAGGTGTTGAGGCAAAGGTAAAAGGGCGTCGTCGTCGTCGTCGTTCTTGGGTATAAAAACTTACTGACGCAATTCTCAAGTTTTGGCTCTCACTTCTGTGTATTTTGATGCCTTGACTTCATCGAGGACATACAGAGGTGGAATTGTTGCATGAATTAATGGGCTGGTTGAGTTTTAGTGTTGTATGTGTAGTAACAGGGAGAGTCTTCTCTATTTAAAGGACATAAGGGTAGTGGCATTTTAATGAGTAGAGAGCAAAATTTTTTTTTATTAAAACAAATAAACAGTGTTCATTTTAATGGATACACAGCTAGTTTTTAAATGGACACACACGCAGGCGAGATACATGATAGTATACACTTGGAAAAATCCTAGAGGGATTGGTGCCAAGCTTGAACACGAAAATCACTCACTATGAAAGCAAAAGACTTGGCAGGAGATGCAACATTTCCCAGTGAAAAGCAGGGGTGTTACGAGTACACTGAGAGACAACACAGTAAGTGTCTGGGGCCCAAAACTTCAGCTGGCTCCCAGCATACATGAGGGGGATTACCAGTAGACCCCTGGCTGTCTTCAAGTAGGCACTAGATAGGCACCTAAAGTCAGTACCTGACCATCCTGGCTGTGGTTTGTACGTTGGTTTGCATGTGGCCAGCAGTAACAGCCTGGCTGATCATACCCTGATTCAAAGCGAGGTCTGGTCTCAGATCAAGCCACGGGGTTGTTGACCCCCCAAAACCCTCTCCAGGCATACTCCAGGTATACACACATTTCCCCATTTAATGGGCAAACAGCTAGTTACTTTTAATAGGCATGCTGTTAGTCAACCTTATACTTGTATCACAGCTGGTCTCTCTCTTAAAGGGCAAGCAGCTAATTTTCCTTTTAATGGGAAAGGATAACTATGATAATCTCTCTTACTGTGCACCGATGACTAGTAGCTCTGTCACTAGTTTACCTGGAGAGAGTTGTGGGGTTCAGTGCCCCCAGGGCCCGGTCTGTGACCAGGCCTCATGGTGGATCAGAGCCTGATCAACCAGGCTGTTACTGCTGGCTGCACGCAATCCAACGTACGAGCCACAGCCCGGCTGGTCAGGTACCGACTTAAGGTGCTTGTCCAGTGCCAGCTTGAAGACTGCCAGGGGTCTATCGGTAATCCCCCTTATGTATGCTGGGAGGCAGTTGAACAGTCTCAGACCCCTGGCACTTACTGTATTGTCTCTTAACGTGCTAGTGACACCCCTGCTTTTCGTTGGGGGGTGTTGCATTGTCTGCCGAGTCTTTTACTTTCGTTGTGAGTGATTTTCTTGTGCAAGTTCGGTACTAGTCCCTCTAGGATTTTCCAGGTGTATATAATCGTGTATCTCTCCCGCCTGCATTCCAGGGAGTACAGGTTCAGGAACTTCAAGCGCTCCCAGTAATTGAGGTGTTTTATCTCCGTTATGCATGCCATGAAGGTTCTCTGTACATTTTCTAGGTCAGCAATTTCACCTGCCTTGAAAGGTGCTGTTAGTGTGCAGCAATATTCCAGCCTAGATAGAACAAGCGACCTGAAAAGTGTCATCATGGGCTTGGCATCCCTAGTTTTGAAGGTTCTCATTATCCATCCTGTCATTTTTCTAGCACATGCGATTGATACAATGTTATGGTCCTTGAAGGTGAGATCCTCCGACATGATCACTCCCAGGTCTTTGACGTTGGTTTTTCACTCTATTTTGTGGTCGGAATTTGTTTTATATTCTGATGAAGTTTTAATTTCCTCATGTTTACCATATCGGAGTAATTGAAATTTCTCATCGTTGAACTTCATATTGTTTTCTGCAGCCCATTGAAAGATTTGGTTGATGTCCGCCTGGAGCCTTGCAGTGTCTGCAGTGGAAGAAACTGTCATACAGATTCAGGTGTCATCTGCAAAGGAAGACACGGTGCTGTGGCTGACATCCTTATCTATGTCAGATATGAGGATGAGAAACAAGATGGGAGTGAGTACTGTGCCTTGTGGAACAGAGCTTTTCACTGTAGCCACCTCAGACTTTACTCTGTTGACTACTACTCTTTGTGTTCTGTTTGTGAGGAAATTATAGATCCATTTAGCAACTTTTCCTGTTATTCCTTTAGCACGCATTTTGTGCGCTATTATGCCATGGTCACACTTGTCGAAGGCTTTTGCAAAGTCTGTATATATTACATCTGCATTCTTTTTGTCTTCTAGTGCATCTAGGACCTTGTTGTAGTGATCCAGTAGTTGGGACAGACAGGAGCGACCTGCTCTAAACCCATGTTGCCCTGGGTTGTGTAATTGATGGGTATCTAGATGGGTGGCAATCTTGCTTCTTAGGACTCTTTCAAAGATTTTTGTGATATGGGATGTTAGCACTATCGGTCTGTAGTTCTTTGCTATTGCTTTACTGCCCCCTTTGTGGAGTGGGGCTATGTCTGTTGTTTTTAGTAACTGTGGGACGACCTTCGTGTCCATGCTCCCTCTCCATAGGATGGTAAAAAGCTCGTGATAAGGGCTTCTTGCAGTTTTTGATGAACACTGAGTTCCATGAGTCTGGCCCTGGGGCATAATGCATGGGCATGTCATTTATCGCCTGTTCGAAGTCATTTGGCATCAGGATAACATCAGATAGGCTTGTGTTTACCAAATTCTCTGGCTCTCTCATAAAAAATTAATTTTGATCTTCGACTCTCAGTCTGGTTAGCGGCTTGCTAAAAACTGAGTCATATTGGGACTTGAGTAGCTCACTCATTTCCTTGCTGTCATCTGTGTAGGACCCATCTTATTTAAGTAGGGGCCCAATACTGGATGTTGTTCTCGACTTTGATTTGGCATAAGAAAAGAAATACTTTGGGTTTCTTTCAGTTTCATTTATGGCTTTTAGTTCTTCCTGCGATTCCTGACTCCTATAAGATTCCTTTAGCTTAAGTTCGACGTTTGCTATTTCTCTATTTTCTGTGCACTCAGCTCACACACTGAAGTTTGAGGGTTGATTCCTGGCAGTGGCAGTACGTGTATAGGCACTGTGGAACTGCAGCACCCCCTATTTTCACTCAATATTATCGATAACATTCAAGGTAATGGGTCTTTTTTTTTCTTTAATTCTTTCTTTATACGTACAGTACTTGTACATTATGTAATCCTTAAGCTTAATATCAGTAGCCATCCCCTAGTACATGAAAAAATTGCAAAAATCCTTGTATGGAACTGTGCGCTTGACAGTTCCAGCGATTCAGTGTTTGGCTGTTGTGCACATGTCTGAGATAAGATGCTGCACGCTAGGTAGAGAGAGGACTGTCTCTGATGCAGTGCCGACCCTGTTGTGCAAGTATAAGGTAGTGTTTCTTTATAACTCAGCGACATGTGCTGTGCTTAAAAAGCATTTACCATATTCTTGAATGTGATAAAGTGTAGAATTAGATGATTATCATGCTTCCAGCTATTTTATATGCTTGTTTCGTTTTACACAGTATTAAAACAATGGCTAAAAATTTTGTGAAGCAGCAGCACCACTAATTTTAGCTACTAGCCATCACTGATTCCCGATATGGCTGGAAACCTTAGGAAGTGTTTCCTTAAAACACCTACTGTCAGTGTTCACCTACCAGTACAGTGGGTACCTGGGTGTTAGTCGACTGGTGAGGGTTGCATCCTGGGGACAAAATTGACCTAATTTGCCTGAAATGCTCTGCATAACAAGGGGCTTTCCATATGCTAGTATGTCATAGATGTCATCTAGGCCTGTATACCTTGTACATGTAGATATAAAGATCATTATTATTAGTATATTATTATAATGGGTACCAGTGACTAGCCTTCCTCAAAATGTGCACCATTTACTAGCCTTCCTGAAAATGTGCACCAATGACTAGCCTTTCTCTTGATGGGCACCAATAAATAGCTTAGATTGTGCAGTATTGTCTTTAATTTAGTAGTTTTTTTTAATACCCTGCATGAATGTTTGGGCAGTATTCTTTGACATCTGTTTTAAAGTAGCTCCTGTAGTTGTATGTGTTAGTTTGTAGACAATATAAGAGTAAATATGATGTGGAACATTGCTAGCCATTTTTTTAGTTTATCTTCTGTTATAAACATAGCCATATAACAAGTTAAAGGATTTTTTTTGTGTGAATTTTTTTTTTTTCTTTTTTTTTTTTTCAAAAGCAGAGATATGGTAATATGGGCAAATAAATCCTTTTTCTTTCAGCCATCTATAACTTCAGTGGCATTAATGACTCCTGTATAAAACTTAATGTTGGTGATACTGTTCAAATTTTGGAGGAGTTGGGAGGCTGGTACTTCGGATACGCCCACTACAACAAGGCACTCCGAGGTGTATTCCCCAAGTCTTTCATACAGGTAATTCCCTGCTGATTCTGCTAATTATAGAGGCAGCATTAGTTTTGTAACTTTTTAAAGCCCTTCCTATCATGTCAACATTATGCCATTACTGGCACATATCTACCACTTAAAAGTGAGTGCTGAACAATAGTCATGAAGTTGTTAGTATGTAAATTTTCATTTAAAACATAGGAAAATTAACTAAAGTTTTATATAATTTTCCAGTATGAATTTAGTATGTAAAATGTTATGATACATGGACATCTAATGCCTTTCCTATTCCTATGACAATAATCAGATTCGAGATTGTGTTGTTGACAAAACTGGCCCAGTTGAGGTAGTTACTGCTCGTCTCCCACACATTGTTCAGGAAGTCACTGCTGTGCTACGAGAATGGGGGGTTTTGTTACGAAAGCTTTATTTGGTAAGTAAATCACTGTGGAATGAATTCATTTTTTTTATCTGTTTTGCTGATTCAGTTACGTAAGTACGTACTACAGACAAATAATGAATTGCAGTATATGATGTATGAGCAAGAACATGGAGATCAATGTGCAAATGAGGCAGAATTTTCTGAAATGCAGTGCTCATCAATACATATAAAACAGCTGTGTGAAAGTAAGTAAAGATATAGAATACCATGATTAAATATACATTATAAATAATTTTTCAGGAGAGAAGCAAGGACTTCACCCTTTTACGGGATACTATGAAAGAGCTGATAGCCCTCCGCAGCAGGATCCTATCTGGCCAGTTGCCTGGGGATGAACTCAAACAACTCAAGTACCGAATTACACATGGAATTGATCAAGTTAATGCGTATGTTATTTTGATTCCTCTCTTTAATATAGTTCAGTGTGTAATTATTTCTATTAGGTCTATGTCTCTGATGCCTTGTTATTTCTTGGAGCTCACCATTTTCTTCTTAGAGGGAAGCCTGCATATAGAATTTCTCTCAAGTATTTTACAGGCCATTAGTGTAAACAGTGGGGAGTGAGTACCTGCAATATGTTAAAAAAATTTTGTATTAGCTTAACTGTCATAAATGTAGAACTGGCTTACCAGTGACTTGCACCAGGAAAGAATGAAAGAAATGACAGTGCCTTCAGTAAATAGACTGTATACGAGCATGTACAGTGGACCCTCATCTTTTGTAAGCATTGGAAGTTGTAATTTTCAAAAATCGTAACTTTTTTGTCAAAATATTGACTCGCAAATAATCATTTGTCCCAGATGCGTACAAGTGGCCCTGACGAGGCCACAGTCAGTGTCCCATTGTTTATCAGCGAGTGAGTACGATCCCATGCATTCATACGATACATTTTGTAATATTCCATTCGTTCTAGTGCTTGCAACTGCTAAATAAGCCACCATGGGCCCAAAGAAAGCTAGTGCCAGCCCTTTGGTAAAGAAGGTGACAAACACAGAATTAAAGAAACAGATTGTAGAAAAATACAAAAGTGGTGGTGGTAGTGATGGTGGTAGAGGGTGGTAGTGGTTGGTAGTGGTTGTGATGGTGGTAGAGGGTGGTAGTATGGTGGTAGAGGGTGGTAGTATGGTGGTAGCAGGTGGTAGTGGTTATGATGGTGGTAGAGGGTAATGGATATTTGTGCAATGTGGAGTAGGATGAAAAGATTTGCGGCATTAAAAACAAAGAAGGGCAGTGACCCCGGCTAAGAACTTGGTACCTAGAGTCCTAATGGAGGGGGATTCTCCTTTCAAAGAATAACCTCTCTTCCCTCTTCCCTGTCTTCCATCCACCAACAACAGCCTTCAATAAAGGTAAATGTCATGTTGAATGTTCATTCTTTTGTGCATGTAAATCTATCTTTAACTCTTTGACTGTCGCAAGCCCATTTCTGAAACTGTCATTCTATGTCACAAACTATTTGAAAAAAAAAAAATTATTTTTTCTTACCAAAATGTTAGGATTATTTTACTGTGTTTTAAGCCTAAAAAATTTTTTTGCCATCAGTATTTAGCGAGATACAGAGGTGCAAAGTTGGCAAAAATGAGCTGCGTATGCCAACAGCAGCGAATGCCACTCACCCGGTTTCTTGTATTTTCCAATACTTTTCTTGGCCTGTGAGACCAAAGTAAGGTGCATTGTTAAAATATACACTCATTATTTACAACACAATAACTGCACAAACATTATCACTATTAGATTGTTTATAAAACTTGTTTACACAAACAATACAAAACATTGTTTATTACTATTGTTCTATAATATATATACATATGTACATAGGTAGATGGGAAAAGAGGAAAATGGCAACAACAAGTAAGAGGGAGGTGAAAGTGTATAAACTAAGGGAGGATGAAGTTTGGGTGAGATATAAGCAACTGTTGGCAGAAAGGTGGACTGGTGCAAGTATGAGTAGTGGGGGGGGGGGGGTTGAAGAGGGTTGGAACAGTTTTAAAAATGCAGTATTAGAATGTGGGGCAGAAGTTTCTGGTTATAGGAGGGTGGGTGCAGGAGGAAAGAGGAGTGATTGGTGGAATGAAGAAGTAAAGGGTGTGATGAAAGAGAAAAAGTTAGCTTATGAGAGGTTTTTACAAAGCAGAAGTGTTGTAAGAAGACTAGAGTATATGGAGAGTAAAAGAAAGGTGAAGAGAGTGGTGGGAGAGTGCAAAAGGAGAACAGATGATAGAGTGGGAGAAACACTTGTCAAGAAATTTTAATGAAAATAAGAAAAAATTTTGGAGTGAGTTAAACAAGTTAAGAAAGCCTAGGGAACAAATGGATTTGTCAGTTAAAAACAGAGTAGGGGAGTTAGTAGATGGGGAGATGGAGGTTTTGGGTAGATGGCGAGAATATTTTGAGGAACTTTTAAATGTCGACGAAGAAAGGGAGGCGGTAATTTCATGCACTGGCCAGGGAGGTATACCATCTTTTAGGAGTGAAGAAGAACAGGATGTGAGTGTGGGAACGGTGTGTGAGGCATTACGTAGAATGAAAGGGGGTAGAGCAGCTGGAACTGACGGGATCATGGCAGAAATGTTAAAAGCAGGAGGGGATGTAGTGTTGGAGTGGTTGGTATTTTTGTTTAATAAATGTATGAAAGAGGGGAAGGTACTTAGGGATTGGCAGAGAGCATGTATAGTCCCTGTATATAAAGGGAAGGGGGACAAAAGAGATTGTAAAAATTATAGAGGAATAAGTTTGCTGAGTATACCAGGAAAAAGTGTACGGTAGAGTTATAATTGAAAGAATCAGAGGTAAGACAGAATGTAGGATTGCGGATGAGCAAGGAGGTTTTAGAGTGGGTAGGGGATGTGTAGATCAAGTGTTAACATTGAAGCATATATGTGAACAGTATTTAGATAAAGGTAGGGAAGTTTTTATTACATTTATGGATTTAGTAAAGGCATATGATAGAGTTGATAGGGAAGCAATGTGGCAGATGTTGCAAGTATATGGAATAGGTGGTAAGTTACTAAACGCTGTAAAGAGTTTTTATGAGGGTAGTGAGGCTCAGATTAGGGTGCGTAGAAGAGAGGGAGAATACTTCCCGGTAAAAGTAGGTCTTAGCCTGGGATGTGTAATGTCACCATGGTTGTTTAATACGTATATTTATAGATGGGGTTGTAAAAGAAGTAAATGCTAGGGTGTTTGGGAGAGGGTTGGGATTAAATTAAGGGGAATCAAATACAAAATGGGAATTGACAGTTGCTTTTTGCTGATGATATTGTGCTTATGGGAGATTCTAAAGGAAAATTGCAAAGGTTAGTGGACGAGTTTGGGAGTGTGTGTAAAGGTAGAAAGTTGAAAGTGAACATAGAAAAGAGTAAGGTGATTAGGGCATCAAATGATTTAGATTAAGAAAAATTGGATATCAAATTGGGGAGGTGGAGTATGGAAGAATTTAATGTTTTCAGATACTTGGGAGTTGACGTGTTGGCGGATGGATTTATGATGGATGAGGTTAATCATAGAATTGATGAGGGAAAAAAGGTGAGTGGTGCATTGAGGTACATATGTGGAGACAAAAAACGTTATCTATGGAGGCAAAGAAGGGAATGTATGAAAGTATAGTAGTACCAACACTCTTATATGGGTGTGAAGCTTGAGTTGTGAATGCAGCAGCGAGGAGGCGGTTGGAGGCAGTGGAGATGTTCTGTCTAAGGGCAATGTGTGGTGTAAATATTATGCAGAAAATTTGGAGCGTGGAAATTAGGAGAAGGTGTGGAGTTAATAAAAGTATTAGTCAGAGGGCTGAAGAGGGGTTGTTGAGGTGGTTTGGTCATTTAGAGAGAATGGATCAAAGTAGAATGACATGGAGAGCATTTAAACCTGTAGGGGAAGGAAGGCGGGGTTGGGGTCGTTCTCGAAAAGGTTGGAAGGAATGGGTAAGGGAGGTTTTGTGGGCGAGGGGCTTGGACTTCCAGCAGGCGTGCATGAGCGTGTTTGATAGGAGTGAATGGAGACGAATAGTATTTGGGACCTGACGATCTGTTGGAGTGTGAGCAGGGTAATATTTAGTGAAGGGATTCAGGAAAACCGGTTATTTTTATATAGCTGGACTTGAGTCCTGGAAATGGGAAGTACAATGCCTGCACTCTAAAGGAGGGGTTTGGGATATTGGCAGTTTGGAGGGATATGTTGTGTATCTTTATACATATATGCTTCTAAGCTGTTGTGTTCTGAGCACCTCTGCAAAAACAGTGATTATGTGTGAGTGAGGTGAAAGAGTTGAATGATGAAAGTATTTTCTTTTTGGGAATTTTCTTTCTTTTTGGGTCACCCTGCCTCGGTGGGAGACGGCCGACATGTTAAAAAAAAAAATAAAAATAAAAAATGTACAGTCGCTGAACACTTTCCTAGAACTGCTGTAGCTTGTGGAAATCTTTGAAACATGGGTATATGCAGAGTGGTACTTGACACTCCTCACACATAAAATGCGTGTCTCTGTGTTTTTGTGGGCATTTTGTGGTATGTCCACATACAAAACACCTCTTTTGAGCACTTTTCTTGAAAGCAGTAGGAGGCTGGTCTATTGCTGGTCTATTGCAGGTGTTGCTTCTTGGTACTTGAATATTATTTGTCTGATGACTGACAAACAAAATTCACCATATTTTGGTTTGTTGGTGGTCTTCAACTTGTTTATGTTATAAGCATTCAGTATGGAAATATCAAGAAGATGAAAAAAAGTTTTATGTACCACTTATAACCCTTGCGTACACAATCAGCAAACCCAATCTGCGTGTCACATTTTTCCACTAAGTGCATATTGAGGTTGTAGTTCATGACAGCTGCAGGCTTTAGAATGGGTTCATTGGTCTCTCTATTCTGCCTGCCACTGTCTGCCATTTCATTTTGGTGAACTGATGTCAACAATGTGACATCATGTTTGTCATGCCACCGAAATGCCATGATGTCATTGGCAGCAAAGGCCTGCACCTTACCTCTGCGAGTGCCAGCTTTGTACCTTGGCATATAGTTACGATTACCACGCACTGTGCCACACACGTTTCATGTTCACTCGCAAGAAATCACTGAGTAAGGGGCTTGTGTATCAGTTATCAGTATATAATATATGCCCTTTACCAAGATATGGTTCCATCATTGTTCTAACCACATCACCAGAGATACCCAATAACTTTCTGGTATCTCTGAATGTATTACTGCCAGTGTACACAATTATATCCAAAACCAGACCACTTTTGCAATCACAGTATACAAATAACTTTATACCAAAGTGTTTCCTCTTGCTTGGTATTTACTGCTTGAATGAGAGTCTTCCTTTGAACAAAATCAAAGACTCTTCAATAACAAGCTTCCTGAAGGAATAAAAATACATGCAGCACTTTTGTTTCAGGTACATAAACACATTTCTGATTTTATATAACCTGTCGCTTCTGTCAGGCCTTGTTGTGTCTGAAAAGTGTAACATATGTAACAGTATCAAAAACGATTGATTCCTATAATATCACTAAAACCTGGGGTTGAAATCAGGCATTCTGTTGACCAGTATGTGGTGACAGTGTGCTTATACACATGTGGCATAAGCATTATTGTGGCAAAGAACAGGTACATCTCTACCACAGTTGTGTCCTTCCACTGGTGTAGCCGTGACCTTGGTGAAAGAATTGTATTTGCCATGGTGTACTCATAGTATGTGTTGCTTTCCCTGACAATGATTTCCATCAGGGGTTCATCAAAGAATAACTGAAAGCATTCTAGTTCAGTGGCATTGTTCCCAAGTGTACACAATTCCGTATTCCACTTTGTGTTTCATCAAAGTCGTGGGGATTGGAAATAAAATCGTCACCTTGCTGCCAATCCCAGATGCGGTCTGCTGGTGGGTTCTGGATATTGAAACATGGTTGTGGTTGTGCAGGTTGTGGTTGTGGTTGTTGTGGGAGTTTGGGGTTGGGTGAGGCTGGATGTGCTTGTGCAGAGTCAGCAGCGTGGGTAGTAGCGTGGCCCGCTGCTGGTGCCACATGACTCATGCCACCGCCAACATCACCACTACCATCACCTTCTTCCCCACACACATTACACATCCCCATTGTAACAATATCGTCGTCTTCACTGTCAGGTCATGGTGTAGGGCCATGGGATGTACTCCCAGATTTACTCCTTTGCCTTGGAAGGGCATAAGACACATTACCAGAACTCATGCTGCGTCATACATACTGCCGTTTCACTGGCAAATATTCCCCCTCACTGTCACAACTCGAGCTGCTTTCAATGACTTTGAAATCACTGTCATTATCACTTTCACTGCTTAGATCGGAGTCCTGTAAACGGGGAAATAGTTTTCTTTTTTGTCCTGGTACAGGTGAACGTGAATGAGATATGCCAGCACCAGAGGCGGACGGTTGTGGGTCATCTGGGTTTTCATCACTAATTACGTTATCCTGGGCACTGCTTTCTGTCACACACTCTCTAAAACCATGAAATTCACTTTCACTGGTACTTCCATCACTGTTAGAACTATCACTTGGGAACAGTAGACCTCCAATCCGCCGAGGAGTGAGGTACTTCTTACCATGAGGCATGGTGAAAATGGACTACCAAGATGGCGTTCCCACAGTGCAACACTGAGTCCCAGATTTTTTTCAAATGGTGCACACCCACCACTCAGAGTCATTCTCTCTCATGTAGGCCTACCAGCTTTCTCCTGCTTGATTTGAAGCCGCTAGAATTTACGCGTATAAATACGTCGGAAACATTGGCTCGTAAGATGTATATATGCAACTGAAACAGTCAAAGGGTTAAGGTAAAAAAAAAATTTTTTTGTTACTACTTCTAGGTGTCTAGAACAGATTAATTAGATTTACATTATTTCTTATGGGGAAAATGGTTTTGCAAATCATCAATTTCGCCATAAGTCACACACTGGAATGGATTAATTACGAAAAACGAGGGTCCACTGTACATACATTTGCTCTCGGTAGATGACTAAGATGCATGTGCAACACCTGGGCTTTATTACTAAGGGATGCTTTGCCTTTACAGTAGGTTCTTATCATTCTAATATGGAGGCATAAAGACAGACTTTATATTGGAGAGATGAGATGCAGTGGTTGAAGACATGGTCACATGTGGGCAGGATCCACTAGTGGAAGTGGTTCAGGGCCATAAGGTGGGCCAGAGATTTAGCAGTGGAGTCACTTGTTTGGCATGTCTCACAGGTGGAAGTAAGTCATGCCTGTACTGTGGGGCAGAGATTTGACAATTGAGTTGTAGAAGATTGATTAATCCTGCTCTTCGGGCAGAACATCACTCAATAAAGATACCCAGGTGTTGCACATATGTCTTAGCCTGTTGGATATTAAAGCCCTTGGCACTCAAAACCTCCTTTGCTCTTTCAAGCTGTTCCTGGGACAAATCCTACCCTGTCCTTCCTTCCACCCCAGATTTATATAGCCTCTTCTTCATCCTATCTCTCTCCATTCTCACCACTTACCCAGACCACCTCAACAATGCCTCTTTGACCCTCTGAAAATTATTCCACTGATAACCCCTACAGTGCTTCCTAATTTCTATGATCTGTATTCTCTCCTCAGTATTTACAGATTGCTTTCAAGCATAACATCCTCACTGCCCTTTTTTTTTTCATGAATACCACCTACCTTTTTCCACTTTTTTTTTTTTTTGGGGGGGGTCACCTCATCTTGTATTAACCCATCTGCCAACATGTCCATTCCCAAATATCAAAATGCATCCACTTCTGTCATACCCATCCCTCTTATCTGACATTCAATCTTTCATTACCTAGATGTTTTTGATACTCTCATTACCGTGTTTTATTTTATGTTCATCTTTTCTTATACACACCCTCCCAGATTTGTCAAACAACCTTTGCAGTATATCTTTAGAATCTCCCAGAAGAACTTTCATTAACAAAAGCAACTTGGCACCTCCCACATTTTATCAGATTCATCATCTTTTAATTCCCACACCTTTCCCCAATATACTAGTCCTGGAAATGGCAAGTACAGTGCCTGCACTTTAAAGGAGGGGGTTTAGGATATTGGCAGTTTGGAGGGATATGTTGTGCATCTTTATACGTATATACTTCTAAACTGTTGTATTCTGAGCACCTCTGCAAAAACAGTGATTATGTGTGAGTGATGTGAAAGTATTGAATGATGATGAAAGTATTTTCTTTTTGGGGATTTTCTTTCTTTTTGGGTCACCCTGCCTCGGTGGGAGACGGCCGACTTGTTAAAAAAAAAAAAATCTACAAATATGTTAAGCAACCAAGATGACATCACTCATAACTGGGAAACAGTCCTTCTTTCTTTTACATACCCTAACCTGAGCCTCACTCTCTGAATAAAATCTCTCTACTTTCAGTAACCTACCTCTTACGTCATACGTCTGCAACATCTGCCATGCTGCTTCCCTATCCACTTTGCCATATGCCTTTTCTAACTCCATAAGTACAACAAGCATTTCTTTACCTTTATATAAGTGTTGTTAAAGTATTTGTTTCAACATAAACACTTAGTCTCCACATCTTCTACCCTTCTGTGCTCCTCCACAATCCAGCTTTCTGTCTTGCCCCTCGTTTTTTACAGTAATAATTCTTCCATACTCTTTACTCAGTATACTCAGTAGGCATATCATATGTATTGTAACGAAGGAGTTCCATTCCCAAGACCACATTGGTAAATGAATTTGTCGCTAAGTGAGGAGCATACTATAATGGTAGTGGGTTTGTCAGCCATCTTTGATATTGTTTTAATGTCACCTTTGCACCATTTATAACATTTCTGGTATATTTTTAAATGTTTATACAGTAGTGTACTGTATATTGTAATAAACAGAATAGAAGAAATCAGGTATGCATACTGGTCTGAGAGCCAGTCGTAAGTCCGAGTTATCGGTAAATGAGCACATCGCTAAGTGAGGAGAGGCTGCAGTTGTTTTTGAGGAATGTCGCCTGTAGGTGAGAAAATTGTAGGAAGATGGTGCACAAGATGACGTTAGTGTGTCAAGGTGAAACAAAGTGAACAAGTTAAAATAGAGAGGTTAGTGAGAGGTAATAGAACAGTTTAAGTGTGTGTTTTGCAGAACTTTGTGGTTATAGGAGGGAGTTTTGCATTGATGTGATGAAAAGTGTGCTAAGGGAGAACATTGAAAGTTTTTCAGTGTAAAAGTGTTGCATACAAAAGGAGGTTAATTGTATTCATTAATAAGTTTTAAGGTCAACAGGGAGAAAAAACTACAAATTGTCACCAATTTTAATTATGGTCTTCTTGAATCAGATCTTTCATTTTCATTTTATTATTTTGCCTTCATGCAAAATTTTATCTTGGTAGCTAGATTAAAGCATTGCTAGTTTCTATTTGAAATGTACATTTCAGGCAGCTGGGGCTTGATTTAGTAGTTCGAGATGAAAGTGGAAACATCCTCAAACATGACATTACCTCTGCGGTCAAGCTCTTCCGACACCATGATGAAGCTGCAGAGCGGCTTCGTAAGGTAAAAAATGTGTGTTTTGTATCTGGTAGCAATACTGTTAGTATAGCAGTTATATTATCATTATGAGCTTGGGTAAGAACTCATATTTGCTGCTACTTTTGTGGGCCTAAATTTTGGTACGGTATGTTCAGCGTAAGCACCTTATGGCCCCAATAAGTTTAGTGCTTTTCCATATATATATAATATTAATCATGTTCATTGTACAGTATTGTTAATAGTCATACAAAAACTTTGGTAGATAATTTATGTCGTGTACCTACACATACTACACATACATGTACACGTTTATTTATACACACTCATCTGAGTTTTCTTAGATTTTATCTTAATAGTTCTTGGTCTTATTACTTTTCCTTTTATATCCATGGGGAAGTGGAATAAGAATCTTTCCTCCGTAAGCCATGCGTGTTGTAAAAGTCAACTAAATGCCGGAACAATGGGCTCCGTAACCCCCTTTTCCTGTATAAGATTACTTAAAAAGAATAAGAAGAAGAAAATATGTCTCAAAGTGGAAGTCTGATGTGTGTGGATGTTGTGCAATGATAAAGACAGAGATGATTGTGGATGTTATGAATGAGACCATAAGCTTGAGTTCCGGCTTTTAATGAAAGAAGCTTGAAGGTGGGAGAGTTTCAATGGAGAGGAATAAATGGATTAGTCCAGGGGTTTCAAATAGAGTTAGGAGCTAAAGCAGGAGTAGCAATAATGTTGAAGGATAAGCATGGCAATGAAAAGAGAGGGACTATAAATGAAAATTCAAGGATTATGTGGAGTAAAATAAAGATTGGATTTGAAAAGGTGTGTTATAGTAAGCGTGTATGCCACCGGAGAAAGAAATTGGAAGAGGAGAGAGAGAGATTTTGGGAAATGTTGAGTGAATGCATGGGGAGTTTGAATCAAGTGTGAGAGTAATGGTGTTGGGGAATTTCAATGCAAAAGTGGGTAAAAAAAGTTATGGAGGGAGTAGTAAGGTAAATTTGGGTGGCTAGGGGTAAATGTAAATGGGGAGCCTTTAATTTGAGCTATGTGTATAAGAGATTTGGTATAAGTACAGTGGACCCCCGCGATTAACGATATTACTCGTTCGTGTAGAGCTCATTGTATGCGAAATTATCGTTCTATTGCCGAATGAATTTTCCCCCCATAAGAAAATAATGTGAAATATCTAATTAATCCGTGCAAGACCACCCCAAAGTATGAAAAAAAAAATTTTTACCACAGAAAATAATTTAATTTTAAATACACTCAAAACTGAAAAAGGCATGCACAATTACATGACACTTACTTTTATATTGAAGATCTGGTGATGAGTTGAGGGGATGGCGGAGTAGGAAGATGTCTTAGTGTTTAGAAGTGAATCCCCTTCCATTAAGGACTTGAGGTGTCAAGTCCTTTTCTGGGGATACTATCGCCTTCTTCTTTTAATGCCACTAGGACCGAGCTTCAGAGTCACTGGGGTCTTCTGCCGCATAAACATATCTGTCCATAGCGGCCTTTACCTCTCGTTCCATTATGACTTCCCTAAAGTGTTTCACAACATTGTCAGTGTAATAGTCCACCCAGCACGGCTTTTGCAAACCCCATGGACTTCCCCAATTCCACAATTGATTCCTCAAACTGGCCATAGGATTCCTAGGGTAGCCTCAAACCCTTTCAAAATCCCTGTTGGCTACACTTCTTGCCACAGTTTCTTCCAAGCAGAAGTGCAAGGTCCTGTAGTCACTCCTCTCCCAAGCCTTACCTGTAAGGTAAACACAATTGAGGATATTAAAGTGTCTCTCCAAAACTCACTAGAGTCATTTGAGTTCTGAGGTTCACTACAAAGCACCTTTCCACAACAGAGCTTTTGCGTACTGTTTTTTTTGAAGTTTGCCTAACCTGCTGGTCCATGGGCTGCAGGAAAAGAGATGGTAGTTAGGAGGCAACACTTCCACCTTAATGAACTCATGTCCCCATAAAGTCGCTCAGGCCACGTCTGTAGGATGACCAGGGGCATTTGTCTAACACCGGGAGGCACTTAAAGGTCCTAATTTCTTTTCAGTTAGGTAATCTTCACATTGGGGCAAATGCATGGTGTACCATCATAGAAAAAGCCCTAGTGACCCATGCCTTACTGTTTGCCTCCACAGCACACACAAATAACCTTGAGGATATTCTTTTGCCTGAACGCGTCTGGGAGTTTCTGAGTGCTACACTAATAAAGGCTTCACTTTGCAATCACCACTAGTAAAAAGCATTGGAACACATCAACAGAGTAACCTGTCTTTCATAGGCTTATGTTCCTGGGAGTGCCTTTTCCTCTCTGAAGGTAATGTAGGACCCCTGCTTGGCATTTTTCTTCCAAGACAGCCTGTTTCATCAACAATAAACACTTGTTCAGGTTTCAGTCCCTTCACTGTCTCTATTACTCCTGAATTTCCTGCACAAATTTTTCAGCTGCTTTGTGGTCCGAACTGGCAGCCTCATCCATGCCTTATCACGACTATGTAGCCACTACGCTTCTTAAATCTCCCAAAACAACCTTTGGTGCTGGCCTTAAATTCACTCACATCATCACTAGTTGCAGGATTTTTTTATTAAATCCTGATTCAACATCATCCTAGCCTTTCACTTATATCACTTGAGAGATCCTATCTCCTGCTATCTGTTTTTTTTCATTTATCCACACCAATAAGGAGTCTCTCAACATCTTCCTTCACTTGCGATCTCTGTTTTCGAAAACACAGTTGAACTTTTGGGCAAAAACACTTCCTTGATTGCCTTTTTTGCGTTGCCACAAGTGTATCATGGTTGATTGGGGTTTATATACAAACCTGGCCACTCGGAGACCACGCACATTCCACTTTCATACTTATCAATGATCTCTTCTTCATCTCTATAAGTAAAATTGTGTCCACCCTTATTCCTTAGGGTTGCGCACTAGAACTTTCTTGGGGCCCTGGTCACATATTTTGGCAGATAAAATCACCAAAACACTGGGAATGAATACAATGTATGCATGATGTTTAACCGCGGAGCTGCCGGTAAACAATTCCACCGGCGGAACATGTGAGAACTGCTAAGGCCCACATTAGAACCGCGTCTCGGACGAACAGCGTTGAGCGGGTTTTTTTAGCGGTATGCGAGGCAAAATCTAATCGATAAAATGACGCTATGCGGATTTAGACTTTATGTAAGGCAACGGAATGCGGGGGTCCACTGTAATACATATTTGTATGAAAAGATGATAAATAAATATACAAGGTATGATGTAGCAGCGTAAGGAAGTAGTTTGTAGATTATATCTTGGTGGATAAAAGGTATGGTAGGCTCCCCAGGATGTACATTTTTATATAGTGGCAACAGATAATCGGATCATTATTTAAGTTGTAGCTACAGTTTAGAGTAAGAGATAGATGGAAAAGAGAATGTGGCAACACAAGTAAGAGAGGACGGTGAAAGTTATAGATACAAAGTTAGGAGGAAGTTCTGGTGAGATATAAGCGACTATGTGCAAGAAACGGGCTAGTGGCAAAGATGAGTAGTGGGGGGGGGGGTTGAAGAGGGTTGGAATAGTTTTAAAAATGCAGTATAAGAATGTGGGGCAGAAGTAGTGTGGTTATAGGAGGGAGGGGGCAGGTGTAAAGAGGAAATGATGGTTGGAATGATGAAGTAGAAAGGGTGTGATAAAAAGAGAAAAAGTTAGCTTATGAGAGGTTTTTACAAAGCAAAGTGTTATAAGAAAAGCAGAGTTATATGGTAGAGAAAAAGAAAGGTGAAGAGAGTGGTGAGAGAGTGCAAAAGGAGAGCAGATGATAGAGTGGGAGAAACACTTGTCAAGAAATTTTAAATGAAAAAAAAAATTTTGGAAGTGAGTTAAACAAGTTAATAAGCCTAGTGAAAGTATGGATTTTGTCAGTTAAAAACAGAGTAGGGGAGTTTATAGATGGGGAGTAGGAGGTATTAGTGTAGATGGCTAAAATATTTTGAGGAACTTCAAATGTTGAGTAAGAAGGTATGCGTAAATTTAATTCACTGGCCAGGGAGGTATACCATCCTTTTAGGAGTGAAGAAGAGCAGAATGTAAGTGTGGGGGGGGTACGCTAGCATTACGTAGAATGAAAGGGGGTAAGCAACTGGAACTGATGGATCATGACAGAAATGTAAAAGCAGTGAGGGGAATATAGTGGTTGGATGTGTTGTGTACATTTAGTTTAATAAATGTAGTAAAGAGGGGAAGGTACCTAGGATTTGGCGGGAGAGCATGTTATAGTCCTTATATAAAGGAAATGGGGACCAAAGATAATGAAAAAATTTATAGAGGAATAAGTTATATTGAGTATACCAGAAAAAGCGTACGGTCGGGTTATAATTCGAAAGAATTAGAGTAAGACAAAATGTCGGATTGCGGATGAGCAAGGAGGTTTCAGAGTGGGTAGGGATTGTATGATCAAGTGTATTTACCTTGAAGCATATATGTGAACAGTTAATAAGATAAAGGTAGGGAAGTTTTTGTTTAATTATGTATTTAGAAAAAGGCATCTGATAGAGTGGATACGGGAGCAATGTGGCAGATGTTTGCAAGTATATGGAATAGGTGTAATAGAACTAAATCTGTAAAGAGATTTTATGAGGAAGTGGATGCTCGCAGGTTAGGGTGTGTAGAAGAGAGGGAGACTACTTCCTGGTAAAAATGCATGTCTTAGACAGGATGTGTTTATGTCACCATTGTTGTTTAATATATTTATAGATGGGTTGATAAAAGAAGTAACTGCTAGGGTGTTCGGGAGAGGGTGGGATTAATTATGGGAGAATCAAATCAAAATGGAATTAACACAGTTACTTTTTTACTGATGATACTTGTTGCTTAATGGGAGTTCTAAAGAAAATTGCAAAGGTTAAGTGGAGGAGTTTGAGAAATGTTGTGAAAGTAGAAAAAGGGTTTTTATTGGAAAGTAACATAGAAAAAAGAAAGTTGATGAGGGTATCAAATGATTTAGATAAAGAAAAATTGGATATCAAATTGGGGGGAGGAGGAGTATGGAAGAAGTAAAGTTTTTCAGAATACTTGGGAGTTTGAAAACCGTGACGTGCGATGGATTTATGAAGTGATGAGGTTATCAAGAATTGATGAAGGGAAAAAAGGTGAGTGTTGCATTGAGTAAATGTGGAGTGCAAAAGAACGTTATCTATGGAGGCAAAGCAGGGAATGTATGAAAGTATAGTAAGTACCAAACACTCTTATATGGGTGTGAAGCTTGGGTGGTAGAAAAATGCAGCAGCGAGGAGATGGTTGGAGGCGAGTGGAGATGTTCTGTCGTAGGGCATGTGTGGTGGTAATATAATGCTGAAAATTCGGAGTGTGGAAATTAGGAAAAGGTGTGGAGTTTAATAAAAAAGTATTAGTCAGAGGGCAAGAAAGGGTTGTTGAGGTGCGGTTTGGTCATTTTAGAGAGAATGGATCAAAGTAGAATAACATGGAAAGCATATAAATCTAATAGGGGAAGGAAGGCAAGGTAGGTTCCTCCTTGAAAGGGTTGGAGAGGAGGGGGTAAAGGAGGTTTGTTGCAAGGGCCTCTGGACTTACAGCAAGCGTGCATGGAGCGTTTTAGATAGAGATGAATGGAGACGGAATGATATTTGGGACCGACGATCTGTTGGGAGTGTAGCAGGGTAATATTTAGTGAAGGGGATTCAGGAAACCGTTATTTCAATATAGTCGGAGCTTGATTCCTGGAAATGGTAAGTAACAATGCCTGCACTTTAAAGGAGAGTTTGTGATATTGGCAGTTTGGAGGATTATGTTGTGTATCTTTATACTTATATGCTTCTAAACTGTTGTATTCATGAGCACTCTCTGCAAAAACAGTGATTATGTGTGAGTGTTGGGTGAGAGTGTTGAATGATGATGAAAGCATTTTGTTTTTAGGGCTTTTCTTTCTTTTTTGGTCACCCTGCTCGGTTGGAAGACGGCCGACTTGTTGAAAAAATAAAAAAAAAATTATGTATTTCTTTAACACACACCAGCTGTCTTTCCCACCTGAGGTCAAGGTGACCACCAAAAGTAGAAAAATGAAATTTTTTATCCATTTACACTTAGTAATTTATACAGGAGAAGGGGTTACTAGCCCCCTTGCTCCCAACATTTTAATCTCCTCTTACGACATGCATGGATTCCATGGAAGGATCTTCTCCGCTTTCTCACATGAGATTTTTTTGGCATTTTCCACCTAGGCAGGGAGATACAAGGAAGATGGAAATTCACTGTCCTTGTAGCTTTTTTTTTTTTTTAACAAGTCGGCCGTCTCCCACCAAGGCAGGGTGACCCAAAAAAAAAAGACAATCCCCCAAAAAGAAATAACTTCATCATCATTCAACACTTTCACCTCATTCACACATAATCACTGTTTTTGCAGAGGTGCTCAGGACACAACAGCTTAGAAGCATATACGAACCTATAAAGATACACAACATATCCCTCCTAACTGCTAATATCCCGAACCCCTCCTTTAGAGTGCAGGCATTGCACTTCCCTTTTCCAGGACTGAAGTCTGGCTATATAAAAAAACCGGTTTCCCCCCTGAATCCCTTCACTAAATATTACCCTGCTCACACTCCAACAGATCGAAGGTCCCAAATACCATTCGTCTCCATTCACTCCTATCTAACACGCTCACGCACACTTGCTGGAAGTCCAAGCCCCTCGACTACAAAACCTCCCTAACCCATTCCCTTCCAACCTTTTCAAAGGACGACCCCAACCCTGCCCTTCCTTCCCCCTACAGATTTAACGCCTCCATGTCCATTCAACATTGATCCATTCTCTCTAGAATGACCAAACCAACTCAACAACCCCTCTTCACCCTCTGACTAATACTTTAATTAACTTCACACCTTCTCCAAATTTCACACTCCGAATTTTTCTGCAAAATATTTACTCACACAGTTGCCCTTATACCGGACATCTCCACTGCCTCCAACTGCCTCCTCACTGCTGCAATCACAACCCAAGCATCACACCCATATAAGAGTGTTGGTACTACTATACTATCATACATTCCCTTCTTTCCTCCTTTTTTTTTTTTTTTTCTAACGTCGGCTGTCCCCCACCGAGGCAGGGTGACCCAAAAAAGAAAGAAAATCCCCAAAAAGAAAATACTTTCATCATCATTCAACACTTTCACCACACTCGTACATTATCACTGTTTTTGCAGAGGTGCTCAGAATACAACAGTTTAGAAGCATACACATATAAAGATACACAACATATCTCTCAATGCACCACTCACCTTTTTTCCCTCATCAATTCTATGATTAACCTCATCCTTCATAAATCCATCCGCCGACAATGTCAACTCCCAAGTATCTAAAAACGTTCACTTCTTCCATACTCCTCCTCCCCAATTTGATATCCAATTTTTCTTTATCTAAATCATTTGATACCCTCATCACCTTACTCTTTTCTATGTTCACTTTCACTTTCTGCCTTTACACACACTCCCAAACTCATCCAAAAACCTTTTCAATTTTTCTTTAGAATCTCCCATAAGCACAGTATCATCAGGAAAAAGCAACTGTGTCAATTCCCATTTTGTATTTGATTTCCCCTTTAAATTTTAAATCCCACCCCTCTCCCAAAACACCCTATCATTTACTTCTTTTACAACCCCATCTTAAAATATATTAAAAAAACCATGGTGACATTACACATCCCTGTCTAAGACTACACAAGGCCCCTACCCTAACCTGACCCTCATTTTTCCTCATAAAAACTCTTTACAGCATTTAGTAACTTACCACCAATACCATATACATGTATGTACTTGCAACATCTGCCACATTGCTCCCCTATCCACTCTAATCATATGCCTTTTCTAAATTCATAAATGCAGTAAAAACTTCCCTACCTTTATCTAAATACTGTTCACATATATGCCTCAATGTAAACACTTGATCTACACATCATCTACCCACTCTGAAACCTCCTTGCTCATCCACAATCCTACGTTCTGTCTTACCTCTAATTTTTTCAATTATAACCCTACCGTACACTTTACCTGGTATACTCAGTAAACCTATTCCTCTATAATTTTTTCATTCTCTTTTGTCCCCCTTTCCTTTATATAAAGGGGCTATACATGCTCTCCACCAATCCCTAGGTACCTTCCCCTCTTTCATACATTTATTAAACAAAAATACCAACCACTCCAAAACTATATCCCCCCCTGCTTTAAACATTTCTGTCATGATCGCGTCAGTTCCAGCTGCTTTACCCCCTTTCCTTCTATGTAATACCTCACGCACCTCCCCCACACTCATATCCTGTTCCTCTTCTCTCCTAAAAGAAGATATACCTCCCTGGCCAATGCATGAAATTACCGCTTCCCTTTCTTCGTCGACATTTAAAAGTTCCTCAAAATATTCTCACCATCTACCCAAAACCTCCATCTCCCCATCTACTAACTCCCCTACTCTGTTTTTAACTGACAAATCCATTCGTTCTCTAGGCTTTCTTAACTTGTTTAACTCACTCCAAAATTTTTTCTTATTTTCATTAAAATTTCTTGACAGTGCCTCTCCCACTCTATCATCTGCTCGCCTTTTGCACTCTCTCACCACTCTCTTCACCTTTCTTTTACTCTTCATATGCTCTACTCTTCTTATAACACTTCTGCTTTGTAAAAACCTCTCATAAGCTAACTTTTTCTCTTTTATCACACCCTTTACTTCATCATTCCACCAATCACTCCTCATTCCTCCTGCACCTTTTAAAAAGGACATGTATTGCAGCCCATTGCTTACATACTTAACCACAACATCTCTACCACACTTGCAAAGTGTAGTCACTGTACTTCTGTAGATATTACTTTCACATTCCACCAATACTTTAGATTCCATGGGCCACTCATTGCAACTTACTCTGATCTAACATCCACCAATATGCTGGCTGAATGTCTAAGCTTTGTACTTCTCTGTACAATACTTTTCAAATCCTTCCTCCAGTTGTTAATTGGATTTCCCAAACACCTTCCATTCACTGCAGATACAGTATATACATCCTCATTACTTTATCTTGTTCCATTCTTTTAATGTAGTTAAAATATCTCAACAGAATTTCTTCACTCTTTATTCTGTACACTGAATTAATACTGTACCACTAATTGATCTCGGAAAAGACATGCACTACCTCCAACATTCAAAGGCCACGTTTGACATCCACAAAAAAAGGGGGGCTGTGGGTGCCAATTTTCACTTTTATATATTAGCAGCAAGTATTATTAATATATATTTTTTCACTGCATTGTGAGGGAGTATAGGATATAGGGCCAAGTAACCCTTCCTCTTTTTCACACAAGCTTTTAATAATTGTTAAAATAAACTGGTCTGATTTATCATCATTTCAGGAACTTAATACTGAATTTAATTGTGTGACCTCCATGCACTCTGGTATTATACTTAGTATTCCCCATCCTTTTCTACACTACTTACAGGTGTATTTGTTGTTCATGTTTATCAGTCAAGTGCATACATCTGATAGCGCCAGTTAAATTAAGGTCTGTTAATTGTGTGTTTATTTTTCCAGAATGAATCGTCTAATACAAGAGTGCCATCTGTGAGACGAAAACCACACTTAGCATGGACTGCTCATGTGTCAATTAAAAATATTATCATTAAAGTAAGCACAGTACAGAATATGTTCTTGAAGCATTAAGGCATGTTTCTTATTTGAACCCTTTCACTGTTGAGACCCTTGCTCGCAAAGTTGCTCTCAGTGTCGAAGAATTTAAAAAAAAAAAAAAAAAAATTCTTGTGAAATGATAGAGAATCTTTTCCTGATGGTAATGACACCAAAAGTACGACATTCGATGGAAAACCTACAGAATTCCACTCTCGCAAAGTTAGCGGTCTCGGCAATGTATACGCATCAGCGATTTCGCCCACTTTGAGCACTATTTTTGGCCAACTCCATTGTTCCAGTCAACCAAACTCATAGCTATTTCGCTAGAACTCCATTTGTTCTATCAATTGAATACAAGAAACTGCCCATTTACCGATTTTGACTGCTCAATAAAGTGGTCAGAAATTGCCAATTTGGCCAATTTCACACAAATTTCAAAAGATGCCAATTTCAAAATAGGGTCCAGAATAAACAATGCTGACATTCCTGGCACCAAAATAATATTTTCTCTGTTCATTAGTTGCATCTCCAGGCCTCTCTTATATTACTCCTTCTTTCCATTTCAATAAAGATTTACTGTTATGCAGACTACTGCATTATTGTAAAAATTGTACAAGTAATGTCATCCCATTCGTGACTGTATATTAGACTGGCAAAGACTCGGCAGGAGATGTAACATTCTGTCGATTAAAAGCAGGGGTGCCATGAGTACATTGAGAGAACACAATAAGTGTCCGGGGCCCAAGACTGTTCAGCTGCCTCCCAGCATACATAAGGGGGATTACCAATAGACCCCTGGCTGTCTTCAAGAAGGCACTGGACAGGCACCTAAAGTTAGTACCTGACCAACCAGGCTGTGGTTCGTACGTCAGTTTGTGTGCAGCTGGCAGTAACAGCCTTGTTGATCAGACCCTGATCTACAATGAGGCCTGGTCTCAGACTGGGCTGTGGGGGCATTGACCTCTGGAACCCTCTCCAGGTAAACTCCAGGCCAGTTGGACACGTATTGGATGATGATGTCATTTGTTTACTCTTGAACACTGGCAAAAATCTAACATTTCTGCTACTTTGAGCTGAATTTCAAGATACTTTTCATCATTAAACCAATTAAAATCATCTCTATTTCTGTAGTATATCTTCCATTCTATCAAATGAGAGCAAGAAAACAAGAATATAACCATAAATACCACATGAAAATACACCTCAAAGTCGGTGTTTTATACCAAAACCACAGTTTTTTTTTTTTTATTATTATGCACTACATGCTGCAGGATTTTTTTTATACTGCACACACTGACCTCGCAGACCCATTCTCTCACGTGTAAGTCTACGAGCTTTCTTCTACTAGATTTGAAGCTGCTAGAATTTTGGCGTATCAATACGGCACCAACACTGGCTTGTAAGCCATACTAATACGACACTGACAGTGAAAGGGTTAATAACCCAACTCCTTGTTATACATTGAATATCCACTAGGAATTTTTATTGACCTAAGAAAAGCTTTTGACACAAGACCACGACATCCTACTCCACAAACTTGATCATTACGGTATAAGAGGCCATGTGCTTGCTTATTTCAAATCTTACATTACTAATAGGTATCATTATGTCACCATTAAAGCCACAGCATCAGCATCACGGCCACTTGATACTGGAGTTCCGCAGGGAAGTGTCCTTGGTCCCCTGCTCTTCCTCATATACATCAATGACCTTCCAAACGTATCCCAGCACCTGAAACCCATTCTCTTTGCTGACGACACGACTTATGTCATCTCTCACCCTAATCTTGCCACCCTCAACACCACTGTGAATGAGGAGCTGATCAAAATATTGACTTGGATGACAGCCAATAAACTTACGCTTAACACTGACAAAACCTACTATATTATGTTTGGTAGCAGAGCAGGAGATGCACAAATTAACATTAAGATTGACAACACTCTAATTACCAGAAATAATGGGGGCAAATTCCTAGGCTTATACCTTGACAACAACCTGAATTTCAGCACCCATATCCAGCATATAACCAAAAAAGTATCCAAAACGGTTGGGATCCTCTCCAAGATACGATACTACGTGCCGCAAAATGCCCTTCTCACACTATACCACTCACTTATTTATCCATACCTCACCTATGCTATTTGTGCTTGGGGATCAACTGCAGCAACACACCTAAAGCCAATAATAACCCAACAAAAAGCTGCAGTAAGAATAATCACTAAATCCCATCCTGGCAACACCCCCCCCCACTCTTCATAGACCTAAACTTACTCCCTGTTCAGTACATCCACACTTACTACTGTGCAATCTATATCTACAGGGCCTTAAACTCTAATATCAACCTTGACCTAAAACGCTTTCTTGATAGTTGGGACAGAACCCACAGGCATAACACCAGACACAAACATCTCTACGACATTTCCCGTGTCCGACTAAACCTTTACAAAAATTCAATGTATGTCAAAGGCCCTAAAATCTGGAATACCCTACCTGAGAACTCTAGAACTGCAGACACATTCATCACCTTCAAAACTACCATTAGAAAACATCTTATCTCCCTGATACACCCCGTCAACTAACTACACGAATACCACCTGGTGGTTCACACTTACACTCGCTCACTCATTGACCATAAACAGAAATATTAATCTCAATCTTAAAATAATGAATCCTGTGATACTCCAATACTGAAACTATGTACTGTGCCAAAACAAAAGCATTTACATTGCTAAACTCACAAACTAGTATTTAGTCACTTAGCCATAATACCAACTTACCTCATAATTTGTAATATTTTACAATTAAGAATAAAACTAAGTCTGCCCGAAATGCCTAGCCATGCTAAGCGTTCTAGTGGTACACTCTGTAATCACTATTTTACTACATGTAAACCACACAATAACCAAATTTCTGTAAACTCAGCATTGTAATCCTTACAGAGAATATATGCAAGTGGTTTACGAAGGAATTTACTTACGTATTTGAAATTTATTTATTTCACTTTCTCACATGCCTTTTATTTTATCCCCTTTCATGTGCATATTCTCCTTTGCTTCGTTGTTAAAAACTTTTGGGTTTTATTTTTGTCGCATAGTACTGTACAAGCAATCCTCTATGTAAGTAGGCCATTTTCTTAGTTGCCCCTTGGAACTTGAGACTTTATATTATTAAATGCCTCTATGTAAATAAAAATCTATCATGGTTGCTCATCTCCTAAAATAAAAGAAAAGATTCATTGTCCCTCACTGCCCTGACATGCATCATTATTACCTAAGGTATATTGGGTGAGTATTATGGCACATACTTTACAGTATTATACAGCATAATAGAACTGTGTAAAGTAGAATACTTAACATAGTTTGGAGTCTTTAATTTTTTATTTGCAACTATGATTTTATTTTGATGTCATCCCTTTTAAAGTTGCCTATTTTGCAACTGACCCTCAATGTTAACCCTTTGAGGGTTTTCGTCGTACTAGTACGTTTTACGCGTAGGGGTTTTTGACGTACTAGTACTCATAAATTCTAGCGGCCTCAAATCTAGTGGGAGAAAGCTGGTAGGCCTTCATATGAAAGAATGGGTCTATGTGGTCAGTGTGCACAGTCTAAAAAAAATCCTGCAGCACACAGTGCATAATGAGAAAAAAAAAACTTTGACCATTTTTTTTTAATAAATCAGCGACTTTGCAGTGTATTTTTGTATGGTATTTATTGTTGTATTCTAGTTTTCTTGGTCTCATTTTATAGAATGGAAGACATATTACAGAAATTGAGATGATTTTGACTGGTTTTGCAAAGAAAGGTGCCTTGAAATTGAGCTCAAAGTAGCAGAAATGTTCGATTTTTACCAAACTTCAAAAGTAATCAAATCATGCCAAGCGTGCAATACACGTCAACTGGTGAGTCTAATATTCTTTCACAATTGCACCAATAATATTTATACCATTTTTTACACTAATGCAGTAGTCTGCATAACAGTAAATCTTATATTTTTTGTGAAAATAAAAATTCAAAGTGGAAAGCAAAAGAATATAAGAGGGGACTTGAGACATGACTAATGACTAGAGGAAATGTCATTTTAGTGCCAGGAATGTCTTTCTTGTTTATTCTGGACCCTATTCTGAAATTGGCATCTTTTGAAATTTGTGTGAAATTGGCAAAATTGCTAAATTCTGACCACTGTACTGGATAGTTGAATTTCATAAATGAGTGGTTTCTTGCATCCATTCGATAGAAAAAAATGGAGTTCTAGCGAAATATTCATGTTTTTTGTCGACTAGTACAGTGAAATTGGCCGAAAATGTGGCTCAAAGTGGGCAAAATCGCCGATGCGTAAACATCGCCGAGACCGCTAACTTTGCGAGAGCATAATTCCGTAAGTTTTCTATCAAATTTCAAACTTTTGGTGTCTTTATGATCGGGAAAAGATTCTCTATCTTTTCATAAGAGAAAATAATTTTTTTTTTTTTTTTAAATTTGGCCGACCCTGAGAACGAGTTTCGGAGAGGGCCTGTCGACCCTCAAAGGGTTAAATAAGGCTTGTCCTTCTTTTACTTAATTTTGTGGCTTGCTCCAAGCTTCTCAGGATATCCAGTTTTTTGTACCTACCTGTATTACATTATCAAGAAGTAGAAGAAATGGTAACTAGAACTGGATCCACTGGTACTCACAACTCTTTGGGTGACAGTGGAGTAACATGGGTAATTGCTCTAAGAGCAGTACTTTATAGTAGAAGTAATTTTTAGCCCATGCCTTGCATTCATTTCTATCCCTTATAAATTCCATGCTGTTTTTTTCAATACAGTACAATGGTACCCTGAGTTTCGGCCATAATTCATTCCAGAAGGCTGTTAGAGCGCCGTTACCGAATGAATTTGTTCCCATAAGGAATGATGTAAATTAGATTAGTCCGCTTCAGACCCCCCAAAAATATACTTACAAAAGCACTTACAATAATACACTTACATAATTGTTCAAGTTGGGAGGTGGCCGAAACTC